TGCTCCTAATTGACCCCATCCTCCTTAACAAGGGAGTTGGCTCTTTTTCTCCCCCTCCGAGGGCTGCCTTTCTCCCACTCTAATGCCGCCCACAGGTCTGACCTTGCCACAATCTTTTAAGCTATGTCGACACTGGCGGCTTCTTGTGCAAGAACATCTTGCACAAGGGTTCTTGTGCAAGAAGCCTTGCACAAGAACACGTCTGCACTGCCATGTGCGCGCTGTGCTTTTGCGCAAGAGCGCCCGTGGCCGTGTGAATGCTCTCTTGTGCAAGAAAGCTCCGATGGCCATTTTAGCCGTAGGGCTTTCTTGCTCAAGAAACCCCTACCGAGCGTCCACACTGCCCTCTTGTGCAAGAGCTCCGGTGCAAGAGGGCTTACACCTGTTAAAAACCAGCATCGCTCTTGTGCAAGAAGCCCTCTCTTACCACGCTGTACTGTAAGTCTTCTTGCCCAAGAGCCGGCGGGCAGTGTGGACGCTCTGCGGATTCTTGCCGTACTTGTGCAAGAAGCCACGAGTGTAGACGTAGCCTTAGAGTCTGTCTCTGAGTCCGTTTGTTCAAGAACTTCTCCCAAACCATTTTACGAGTTAGGGCCCCCCAATATGATATGCAGTGTCCTCTCACCAGGATTCTCTGTAAGATGAGCACTTGGACGGCCACCTAGGAGACATTCAAATGCTGCCCAGCAGATTAGCAGAGCATCCACAGCTGCCCACAGCATGTTTTTCTACTGGTGGTGCACATGCCTTGGTGCACGTAATAAAATTGATTCCACACATGGGTGGGAAAAAGAGGAGGGAACACCACCTCTTACCCTAACTTACAGCAAGGTCAGGGCCAGGGTGTGCCAGGAAAAGGGGAAGTGCCTGGAATGGGAATGTTTTCCCCCACGTGGAAAGGGCAGAGAACAGGGACGTGATACTCACTGGGGGCAGCCGCACAGGCAGCAGACTGGCCGGCTGAGGTCAGGGCTCCATAGGGCCGGTCATAGAGTGGGTGAGTGTTCCCTCTGCCCCAAACAGGGCTGGATGGGGGATCCCGTCTGCTCCCCTCGCTCACTGGACATGCCCCTTGGACACTCCCTCCCCTCCCTAAGCTGGACATATGGGGGTCTGTTGGCAGCCTCACCCCCCTGTACCAACTGCAGGCTGGGGGGGGGGGCTGCTGGGAGGGCTGGATGGGGGATCCCGTCTGCTCCCCTCGCTCACTGGACATGCCCCTTGGACACTCCCTCCCCTCCCTAAGCTGGACATATGGGGGTCTGTTGGCAGCCTCACCCCCCTGTACCAACTCCAGGCTGGGTGGGGGGGCTGCTGGGCCAGCTGCAGATGGGGGTGGGTGGAGTGTTGTTGGAAGCATCCACCATACCCTGGCCCAACTACAGGGGTAGAAGGAGCATCTAGAGGGCCCCTGAGTAGCAGGAAGCTAGGGGGGAGAGGTGGGCACCGGAGACCCCGCCTCCTCCCCAGATCAGCTGTTGGGGGGTGTCAGCTGGAGCCCAGGCTGGCACATGGTACCTTGCCCCATCACCCCGGATAAGCTGGAGGCTGGGAGGTCATTCCAGGCCCCTCCCCAGCGTCACCCACCAGGGAGGGCAGCTCTGGCCCGGCTGGAGGACTTGCCGCTGGAGCAACATCACCCTCATCCCCATGGCATCCTCTGTCAGCTCCCCCAACTTGCAGCCCCCCTGTTCTGAGTCTCCTGCCCTGGACACACACACCAAAATCTCTGCCCTCAGGCCCCCATCCCCTGCCCTCACTCCATCCCCTTCCACCCCCTGCCTTGAACCCTCCAACACGCCCACCCCTTATTCCTGCACCCCCAACCCCTGCCACGTACGCAGCTCCCTGCCCGGATCCCCCCAGCCCCGGCCCTGCACAATCATTCAAATAAAGCACCGACGTTTCCTTTTTATTGAACAAATTCCACACGAAACTTTATGACAGCTACGAACCTGAGCAGCATCCGCGAGGTCGGCCAGCACGTGATATAAATAGGCCCGGAATTCAGACAGGAGACAGTCGCGGTGCGTACATGTTACTACAGACTGCGCGCTACAGATCAGTGCCAGTGGGGGAGCCGGATTAGTCTATAACTTCAAAAACGAGCCGTCCTATGGCTCCAGCTACATATTTTGGTGAGTCTCTAAGATGCCACAGGAGCACTTCTGGTTTTTACAGCTAAGAGCCGGCGCCTAGAAGCTGGGGTCAGTTTCTCTTCACTCCTGCAATAGCGCTGGGGTCATTTAAGTCCCCGATACGGAGGCAGGGTTCAATTGCCGGTTATAAATGGAGGCAGACGGAGGGTAACGGACACCGCTCCCTCCTGTTACTCTTCTCTGGGCGGTTTCCCGCATTTGGTTCAGACCCCTAAGAGGAACCAGCCTGAGAGCGAAAGAAACCCCCTTTGTCTGACAGGAAACCTTGGCTTCCCCTTGCCGGTGACTCCTGGAAGCTAAATGCTTGGGGGACCGTCCAGAAGAGATTCAAACACTGCCCTGCTGATTAGCCAAGTGCTTGCAGCCTCCTGCGGCTGGCAGCGTGGTGCCCATCTGCGCCTACCTCAGTGCACATAACAAAATTTATTCTGCACACAGACAGTACTCGGGGTTATACGCACGAAGAGCAGACAAGACAAACAGCATCAGGCAGAGCACATGGTAAGAGAAAGGTATTTTAGTGTCTGGTGTTATCCACACAAATTTCTCTCTCCCTTCCACACTTTTAGTGTCTGGTGTTACCCACACAAATTTCTCTCTCCCTTCCACACTGTAGGGACACACACCTTTACCCAGTTCCTAGGGCTCACGGTGCAACCCTGTGAATTTACACACCCACCCGTACCCAATTCCTAGGGCTCAAGTTGTAACAACCTGCAGGTTGGCAGGATCTTTAGCAACTTGAAAGGGCCTCACACGGTAATATCCTTCTCCTCTATTTATTGACAAATCCCAAACAAGCAGAACACACATGCTAAGCGCACAACGTCATGCTCACCAGTCCCGATACAGGCAGGCAGACTTCCCCTGTTGGCCAGGCACTATACCAGTCTCTGGTTTTAGGCTGCGTTTCGGAGGTGAGTTCTTCTTTCCAGGTCTTCTCCCTCTTCCTGGTCCTCTTCCAGCCTTTTCTTCCTTCTGTTCCTCTTGATGATCTTCTCCTCTTCTCCTTCTTGGACCCCAGTTTACTGATGATCTTCTCTTCTCCTTCTTGGACCCCAGTTTATATAATGAAACCTGAGTCTTGCTTAGCTAGACCGTACCCAATTCTTTTAGTATCATTTTACTAACTAAGCATAACAAAATGACCTAACTAATTACACCCCACCACCTTCATTGATTTACACCTAGCAAAATTAATTATCCAGCAGACGGAAAGAGTTACAAACCAGACAGAGATCACACAGACAAACAATAGGAAAGTGTCGTGACAAGGCTCATAGGATAAGGATTCCACATTCTCAATGGATAAGCAGTTTCTTGACAGACAGAACGGTGTGACGCACAAACTTCTTTGCTCATCTCAAGATCTGTTTCTTTATCTGGGGACAGTGGGGGAGCGATCTGGGCAACGTCCCTCCTCACAGCCTGGTGTGACACAGTTGTGATGGAACTGTGAGGATGTGACTCCAGGCCTTACAGCTACTGGCTGGCGCTCCCCCCACTGGCTGGCGGAGGGGGGGTTTGGGAAAAGCCAGACTGTTACACTGGTACAATGAGTCTGGAGTCGTGTGTCAGACTTTAGAAGACTATTTTGAAATTCATTCTCTAGGGGGCGGTCCCGTACTGGGAATTCTGGTGTGAGAGCATCCAAAGAGGCTGCTTCAGTGACGTGAATGGGACCCAGCTCTCATAGGTATTTAGATGCCCAGCTGCCACTGATGAAGAGTTGGCCCTGCTCTGAATGGGACAGACGGGGTAGAGGGTTCTGGAGGGCGATGTCCCTCCTCACAACCTGATGTGACACTTTGTAATACAGTTGTGATGGAACTGTGAGGATGTGACTCCAGGCCTTACAGCTACTGGCTGCTGCTCCTCAGTCTGGCTGCAGAAGGCGGCTTTGGTTCAGACCTAGCACCGGCCTTCCAATTTGGCTACAGAAAAGCCAGACTGTTACACTGGTACAATGAGTCTGGAGTCGTGTCAGACTTTAGAAGACTATTTTGAAATTCATTCTCTAGGGGGCAGTCCCGTACTGGGAATTCTGGTGTGAGAGCATCCAAAGAGGCTGCTTCAGTGACGTGAATGGGACCCAGCTCTCATAGGTATTTAGATGCCCAGCTGCCACTGATGAAGAGTTGGCCCTGCTCTGAATGGGACAGACGGGGTAGAGGGTTCTGCCCCACAGGGAGGTGGCTTAGGGGCTGCAGCTCTGCGGGGTGCACATACTGAGTTCAGACTCTGTGCAGGAGCAGGGCTGAAGCCCTCAGCGGCACCCCAACTCTTGAACTGTTGAATATCGCCATATGCGACTTGGAGGGTCAGTAAGTTTGGCCACCTCTGGATATGGTGAGCCTGACACTGAAATGGTGCCTTTCCCAACATATGCCCTGGCCAAGCACAAGTTATTAGGGTCATTACAGGGGCAAGCGGGTGAAATTATCTGGCCTGTGTGAGGCAGGAGGCCAGACTAGATGCTGTAATGGTCTCTTCTGGCCTTACACTGTGTACCTCTATTGAAAACTAGGCGACTAATTTTGATTCCTAGCATAGGCCATGTTTACACTACCGCAATCAATCTTCCAGTGTTTGATTTATCGGGTCTAGTTAAGACTCGCTAAATCAAACTCAGAGAGCACCCGCCTCAGCAGCCAGTATTCCTGCTTGTGCGAGGAGTATGGGAAGCTGATGGGAGTGTTTGCTTCTGCGGCCTTCCAATTTGGCTACAGAAAAGCCAGACTGTTACACTGGTACAATGAGTCTGGAGTCGTGTCAGACTTTAGAAGACTATTTTGAAATTCATTCTCTAGGGGGCAGTCCCGTACTGGGAATTCTGGTGTGAGAGCATCCAAAGAGGCTGCTTCAGTGACGTGAATGGGACCCAGCTCTCATAGGTATTTAGATGCCCAGCTGCCACTGATGAAGAGTTGGCCCTGCTCTGAATGGGACAGACGGGGTAGAGGGTTCTGCCCCACAGGGAGGTGGCTTAGGGGCTGCAGCTCTGCGGGGTGCACATACTGAGTTCAGACTCTGTGCAGGAGCAGGGCTGAAGCCCTCAGCGGCACCCCAACTCTTGAACTGTTGAATATCGCCATATGCGACTTGGAGGGTCAGTAAGTTTGGCCACCTCTGGATATGGTGAGCCTGACACTGAAATGGTGCCTTTCCCAACATATGCCCTGGCCAAGCACAAGTTATTAGGGTCATTACAGGGGCAAGCGGGTGAAATTATCTGGCCTGTGTGAGGCAGGAGGCCAGACTAGATGCTGTAATGGTCTCTTCTGGCCTTACACTGTGTACCTCTATTGAAAACTAGGCGACTAATTTTGATTCCTAGCATAGGCCATGTTTACACTACCGCAATCAATCTTCCAGTGTTTGATTTATCGGGTCTAGTTAAGACTCGCTAAATCAAACTCAGAGAGCACCCGCCTCAGCAGCCAGTATTCCTGCTTGTGCGAGGAGTATGGGAAGCTGATGGGAGTGTTTGCTTCTGTCGGCTTCCCACTGTGGGGCTGGCAGGGAAATGAGAAACAAGGTCCATCGACTCCAGCTCCGTGATTAACATACGTGCTTCAATCTTCCGAGTGTAGGCAGAGACGAAAAGCCATTATGGATCAGTAGATACAAAGCCCAGGAGAAGGGACTGACTACTTCCCGGGAGCAACTCCGAACCAAACCATCTTAGCTCCAGGAACGAATAAAAATGAGGAGTAATTTTTTCCTCAGGCAGGGTTTCCATAAAAAAAGGAAAGCAAGCAAACAAACAAACTAATAAATAAATTCAGGACAACAATAAAAATCCAGGAAAAACACCCTTAAAATGCTGCTCCTCAAATCGTGAGCAGATTTACTTAAAACCAGATCCACAACAATAAAAAAAAAAAGTCGTCTTGTAGCACTGCAGAGAAACCCACTTCTTCAGAGGAGTTAAGTTCATCAAAACTGCCACCCTGGCTCAGGCCAATGGTCCATCTGGTAACCTCTCTTCTGGTGGTAGCCAGTGGAAGGTACTTTACAGAGGCTATGGCCAGAACACGACAATTATCGAGTGATCTATCCCATCGGTCAATGACATGAGGTTTCCAAGGTAGACTGGCCTCTTCCCACCTTGACCGCGGTTCAGGGACTCGTTGGCCTCTTCCCAAGTGTAAGGCTTCCATCGGTCCATGACATGTGGTTTCCAAGGTGGACTGGCCTCTTCACACCTTGACCGCGGTTCAGGGACTCGTTGGCCTCTTCCCAAGTGTAAGGCTCCGTATCCTACACTCAGGGCCTCTCTCCTCCTGTGGTCGCTGCTGCTCACGAGCACAGAGCTGTTCACAAGTCTGGTGCGTTAGTTCGAACAGGAGGTTCTGACGACGGCAAAGAGGCGGGGCTAATGGGGGCAACTCGTGGATGTTTTTCTGGAAATCCCAACCAAATCAACCAAACGTTTGGTTGCGGATGGAACCCGAATCAACGAATGTGGTCGTGTCATCATCCATCGATCCCTCCCTGCTTTCATTCTGGTCTCACACTCGTGCCTCATCCTTCGCCTTGTGGGTTCTGAGCCCAGGGGACATCTCCACATTCCCTGTGTGGGCTGGGCCCGGCTGGGTTACACAGGTAGCCTGACAACTAGACGCGCTTTTAACACCACCCCTATACTTGTGTTCAGGGGTAGGTTTTACCTCCTCCGGCGTTTCTAATCTGACTGACGCCCAGGAGGTCAGTTTAGAGTTTCCATGACAGTCTTGGGGTGAATCGTTTTTAGTCTAGATCCTCCCCCCAGGCCTGTTCGCCAAGGGTGACCCTACCAGGAGCAGCAAACTCCAGACGCCATAGCCCTGGGGTTCACCGGAACACGCAAGCCCCTCCACCACGGCAAGGTAACGATCCTCGGAGGCAGACCCTGTTTTCCAGACACCTGGCTGGAGAGAGAGGGAGAGCTGTGAGCCGGTCACTGCTCTGGTGATGGGAAGGAAGCATGTGAGCGACTGGCGGAATGATACAGCGGCCGGCGGAGTGATATGACAGCAGCAGTGAGGCAACCACTATATTGCTATGTGGGGGTGAAGCCGGAGCTGAATTTCAAGCAAAGCTCTTGGTGCATAGGTCAATCTACGTCCCCATCTTCACTTAGGCTATGTTTACACTGCCCCCAAAATATGCAAATAGGGTGAAAAGCGTGGAATATCACCATGCCTCATTTGCATAATTAATTAGGCTCCGTTTTTGCGCAAACCCCCCCTCTTGTGCAAGAGCCGTTCTTCTGCATTTTTTTCCCGTGCTTCGCCTCATTTGCATATTTTTGGTGCAGAATGAGGGCAGTGTAGACATAGCCCTGGGCTCGGGAACGTTTTGGGTTATGAACGAAAGGACAAAACGGCGTGGAAAAGCAGCAGAAATGAGGTTTCTCCACAGGGTGCTGGGCTGCTGTCTGAGAGGAACATAGCTCCGAGAAAAGCTCCTACACCTCCGGATCCAGAAAAGCTAGCTGAGTGGGTTCTGGCACCTCAGAAAAGTGCCGAATGTGTGGGCTTCCTTTGGAAATCCACTGGGGCTATGACCACACTGTAGCTTTTTTTGTGGGGAAAAAGCGACACAAATGGAGCGCCACAATTTGTGGAGCTTTTTCCAATTGCTTTTCCGGAAGAGGCTTTTCCACCATTTGGCCCTGTCTAGACGCAGCCAAGTGGCAGAAAAGTCTCCTCTTTCAGAGGAGCCCGTATTCCTCATAGCACAAAGTAGACAAGCGTGTGTTTGCTTTTCTGCAAAAAACAGCGGAAGAGCAGAGGAGTGCGCTGGATGTGGCTGGGTTTTTCCAGCATACCTCTGGTATCCCGGAAAACTCCCGCAGTGTGGACACAGCCTGGGTACCTGCAGCTGAGAGGAGGCCTCATGGACAACCCAGAACATGCGGGACGGATGGTATCTCCTGGCTGACCTGGGAATGCTTGGGAATCCAGCAAAAGTTGGAACCTATTGTGGGGAAAAGGGAGACCTGGTCCCAGAAATGCCCAAGGGAGGACAGAGGGGAAGGGAACAGCTGCCCCGTAGCCCAGCAATTTAAAAAGGTCTGGTGTGCCCGTCCAACACTACCGCAGCAGCAGCAGAAGCTGTGGCAAGTGATGCTGAAGTGCTGACTAGGGGAGGCTTGCCCCCAACCCTATTCCTTCTGCTTGAGGCCTGCCCCTTCTGAGGGCCTGGATCCCCCTCCCCACACATACGCCTTGCCTAAGGTCTGCTGTAGTATGTTGGCAGCCTGGCCTAGTCCTCCTTACTCTGCATGCTGTGTCCATCACTCTCACCAGGAAATGACAGAGGAAAAAAAAAAGGAAGATTGTAGTGCTGTCACTAGGTTCCAGAGTTAACACACCAGTTCCATAAATGGGGCTCTTTTCTGTGTCTTTCTTTCAGGCTGTGTTTTCTTCAGCAGGGTATCTTCATAACCAAGCAGGCTAAAACCACACCGGTTTTTTTAAAACAAAAGCTGGGTTTTTTTAAATAAAAAGGGTCACTCCCATGTAGTACCAGCCATGGAGACTTCCTTGAAAGTTAATGATGTTAGCCTCGTAAAAGATGTACTTTTAGCTGAGATCTATGGTCGGAGAGGTAGGGGGGTCCACCAGAGATGACCTATTGAAAACTGGGCACGCCCCGAAAAGGCTGCATTGGCCCTTCAAGTGATTTTCGACATTGTATCCCCTCTGGCGGCGCTCAGCTTCCTTCGAGAGCACTCGTCCGGCTGGCTGCAGATGAAATGTCTGTCCGAGTAGCACCTGGCGCTGCTCACCCCACGCTCATCCAGGTAGGCGCACTGCCCTTCCCCTCTGATCTCAAACCTGCAATGAGATGCAGCGAGGGGTTACCAGCTGTCCTTCCTGCCCTCGTACAGACGTGGCCCAGCCCCACACGACCCAGGGGAGCTGGATTCACAGCCAGGCTTTGCTGCCAACCAGCCATGAAACCCGGCACTGGCCACGTCTGGCTGTAAAGGTCAGCGCGGGCACCGAGTGCTCCAAAATCAGGCTTGCAGAGAGCAGGAAGCAGAGGCTGCCAAGTTTCTTGCAGGTCTTTCCAGTGTGTGAGGGGACAGAGGACTGCAAGGGAGGCGGTAGGCCACCGCTGTTCCCTGAAAGCAGCACGCTGGGGAAGCCAACCAGGAGAGGTTCGAATGCTTCCCAGCTGGGTTTGTGTTGCTACTGGTGGTGCACATCTGCACCAGGCTGGGTGCATGCAATTCCGAAAGGGGCGGGGCCTCGGGCGGTAGGGCGGGGCCTCCGGTGGAAGGGGCGGGGCCTCAGGTGGAAGGGGAGGGGCTGAAGCAGCTGGCCCAGGGCTCTCCAGTGGTCCGTGCAGAGCTCTGTCTCTGCCTCCCCTTATGCTACTAAGGAGCTGCTTCCCCTCCTAACTGCCCCGTCTTCCACCCTTCCCGCAGCCTGGGGGCGGGGAAAGTGCCATTGTGCACGAACAATAGGGGTGCGCTTGGGAATGATTTCGGGTTGAACCCATGTGCGTGAAGGTGGGTGATGAAGGGAATTTCCACTCTGAGGGAAATCCCTGTGTTTCGACAGGTTTTCCTCCTATTGAACAAAGAGTCAAACTAAAATTTCCCAACGGACAGGAATCCTCTCCAAAAAACGATTTAGAACCACCCCAAATTAAGCATTTTTCTTCGTGACGGTGGGGCTGAGGCATCATGGGAATTGTAGTTTTCCTTCCTCCAGCCCGGTGGTCTCCTACAGGCCCTGATTCCCAGCTGGACTATATCTCCCAGGATGCACGGCGGTGCCTCCCTACGGCGGAAGCATCACAGAACACGGAGGTGGGAGATATTGAACGGTCAAAGACCAGGGCCCAATGGAGCCAGAAGGACGTGGAACACAGTTCCCATGATGTGCTGTGGAGGCCCCGCCGGGGAAACCCAAATGAAAATGTTTCCATCTGGGTAGAGTGAAAAATACCCATTGGGAGTCCATTTCTGCAATGGAAAACCCCACCCCGGTGACCTTTTCCTGTGGGAAATTTTTGGCACAACCAGGGTAAACTTCGAGTTGGAATTTTTCCAACCAGTCCCCCTGGGTCAGTGACATTAACCCCGCGGGGCTCTCTGTCCTCCTCTGCTAAAGAGCTTCACAAATCTCTGGCAGATGCCACCACCCCAGGACTGGCCCCGGAGCTCCGGCAGCAAAGGCTCCGGCCTTTAAAATTCTGCAGTTGAACTTTCAGTCCGTTCCCCACCCAACCCAGGGCTCTGTTGTGGCCTAACAATGAAAACATCAATAAGGACGAAGGACGCACAGGTTGTTGAATATGGTACCGTTGGTCCATTTCCACGGCTGGCCCTGGTCTTGTTCCCTCTGGAGGCCGATCCAGCAAAAAGGGACCCCTTTATAGCGCAGCATGAAAGCCTGTGGAGGTGGGGGGTGAAGCACAAATTATATCCTTACCGGTATCACAGCAAGCAAGGTCGGGGGCTGGTTGTGCCAGGACAACTGGCAGCCCCGGGAAACGGGCTGTTTTCCGTAACATGCAAAGGGAGGGGCTGCTGCTAGGAGGGATGTGATATGAGAGTGGCCACTAGGGGGCAGCAATCCACAGGGGAGAGCTCTCCTGCAGTGGCCACTAGGGGGCAGCAACCCACAGGGGAGAGCTCTCCTGCAGTGGCCACTAGGGGGCAGCAATCCACAGGGGAGAGCTCTCCTGCAGTGGCCACTAGGGGGCAGCAATCCACAGGGGAGAGCTCTCCTGCAGTGGCCACTAGGGGGCAGCAATCCACAGGGGAGAGCTCTCCTGCAGTGGCCACTAGGGGGCAGCAATCCACAGGGGAGAGCTCTCCTGCAGTGGCCACTAGGGGGCAGCAATCCACAGGGGAGAGCTCTCCTGCAGTGGCCACTAGGGGGCAGCAATCCACAGGGGAGAGCTCTCCTGCAGTGGCCACTAGGGGGCAGCAATCCACAGGGGAGAGCTCTCCTGCAGTGGCCACTAGGGGGCAGCAATCCACAGGGGAGAGCTCTCCTGCAGTGGCCACTAGGGGGCAGCAATCCACAGGGGAGAGCTCTCCTGCAGTGGCCACTAGGGGGCAGCAATCCACAGGGGAGAGCTCGGGTGGGGGGAAAGAAAGCCCCACAGGATAGAACCCCCCAGGGAACTGGGGGTCATTTCTAGGGGCACAGGAGCAGCATCGAAAGCCATGGGGAAGGCTTCATGAGCCTCACTTTAAGGGGGGAAGAGCCACATGCGGCTCATGAGCTGCAGGTTGGTCACCCCAGTCTAGGGTTAGAATTTAGGGTTTCGGGGCAGGGGCTGCTGTAGGCCTGCAGGGGGCGCTAACTCAGGCACGTCCTTATCTGTGGCTACGGAGGTGCCCGTCTCTTGCTTACCAGCTCCGGCAGGGAATCCACGGTGGCCAGGGAGGCGTTGAGGGAAGCGCAGTGGTTCTGGCTAGTGCTCCAGTTCCCCTCCGTCTCTGACAAGTAGAAGCATTTTCCTTGGAATCCAACCCAGCCGTCCGGGCACGCGGCAGCCACAGGGGGCAGGCATGATGGGCAGGGAGGACTTTGCCTGGCTGAAAATAAGCAAGTAGCAGAACGGTGAGAGAGGGACCCAGCCCCGGGGTCTGTCTGCGTGGGAATCCCTGCTCAGGAGGGCACAAAGACCCCACGTCCACAGCCTGCGTTGTTTTGCATCGATTCCAAGGGCAGAATGGGGCCTCCGGCATAACACGGTCCTACACTAATCCCTGGAGCAGAGCTTTTGCAACGTCCGATCGTGATTTCAGAACAGCCAGGGATGGAGAATCCACTGCGTCTAACATTCCCTCTCCTCTTTCCCAGCCATGCGTGGGTTTCTCCCATCCCTGGGCGGAATACATTTGTAATATGCACCTCGGTGCACATCACAAAAATCATTCCGCGCCTGGATGAAAAAGACAAGCAGGAACATTGCGACACAGCTGCTAAAATGGAGGCCAAAGGGCAGGAGTCTAAGAAGGGGGATTCTGGAAACGGTTTTCTCAGGATCCTGAGGGTGTGTCTAGACTACAAGGTTTGGGGTTTTTTTTTAAAGTAGACTTTTTTTGAAAAAACTTCACCTGCATCTAGACGACAGCCACATTCTTTCGAAAGTAAATCGGAAGAACGCAGCAGTTTCGTCGCCCGCGGTAAACCTCATTCTACGAGGAATAAAGTCATCTTTCGAAAAAAGGCGCTACTGAATGAAAACAGGGCTGGGTCGAAAGAGAGCGCTGAGACTCTCTTTCCAAAAAGCGAGCCGCTTTTTTGAAAAATCTCGTCGTCTAGACACTGTCTTTCCAAAGAGGCTTGTGGTCTAGACGTACCCTGAGAAAGGATTTTGTTTTTCTTCCAGAGTCAGGGAGAGAAGGCAAATGTTTTCGCAAACCGAAAAGCCTGAAACGGCGTCAGGAAATTAGGAGGCGTGTGATTCCCCCAGTGCGCAGACACATTAACTGGGGGCAGAGATGCCGGCACTCACTCCGTCGCCAATCGGGCAGGTGTGGATGTCGGCATATGGAAGGGATTCAGGGCGCTGCCCCAGCTGAAACTTAGAGCAGTGTTGGGGTTCCTCTAATTTACCCAGGGCAACTGTATTGCAGCGTGCTTTGGCCACAACCCCAATCCACACAGAGGCCAAGGACACCATTTTATCCCCTCGCTAATAGCCTTTTATGGGCCTAACCTCCAGGAAATTATCTAGCTCCGTGGTCCCCAACACGGTGCCTGCGGGCGCTATGGCGCCCGCGGGG